CCAGGTGATTTTTCTCACACCACTCCACAAAGTCAGTAACACCCCCCGTATTCCCCCTCGTCCCCCCCAGATACATATCCAACAATAGCAGTGTCGTCTGAGAACCTTTGTAGATGACACTGGTGGGAGTTGTACTTGAAGTCCGACGTGTAGAGGGTGAACAGAAAGGGGGAAAGCACCATCCCCTGGGGTGCCCCTGTGCTGCAGACTACCACATCCGACACACAGTCCCGCAGCCTTACGAACTGAGGTCTGTTTGTGCGGTAGTTAATAATCCATTCAGAAAGGTGTTGGTCCACACCTCCCCCTCCAACTTCCCCCTCAGCAGTGATGGCTGGATTGTGTTGAAAGCACTGGAGAAGTCAAAGAACATGACCCTCACAAGACCTCCGGGGGACTCCAGGTGACATAGGGCTCGATGCAGCATGTAGATAATAGCGTCGTCTGCTCCGATGCCAGGTCGATATGCAAACTGTGCGGGTCTAGCGCTGAGCTCACTTGGGCACGGAGGTGGCAGAGGACAATCCTCTCCATGGTCTTCATCAGGTGGGAGGTCAGGGCAACAGGTCTGTAATGGTGTAATGGTGTGCGGTGACTGCTCCGGAGCTGTGGGCTGTTGAGAACCCCCCGTGACAGTGGGAGGAGGGGCAAGGTCTGGCTGAGGTGTGAGCAGCTGCAGCTGCGAGGAGACAACTGACCTGGAGAGGTGAGATGGGGGGCTGGCACAGTGGGGGCTAAGGACTTGGTAGAGTCAAATCTGTTAAAAAACAGATTCAGTTCATTTGCCCAGGCCTTGTCCCCTGCGACCTGGTGACCATCACCACTTTTACCATGACTCGAGATGTGTTTCAGGCCTCTCCACACCTCACGCATGTTGTTATTCTCCATGCTCTGCTCCAGCTTCTTCCTGTAGCTAGCCTTGCACCTCCAGATCATGTACTTTAGTTCCTGCTGCACCCTGCTCAGTTCCTCCTTGTCCCCTGAGAGGAAAGCCCTCTTCTTCTCATTTAGCAGTACTTTTAACTCAGGGCTCACCCATGGCTTGTTGTTAGGAAAACACCGTACTCTCCTGGATGGTACGGTATTTTCCACACAGAAGTTTATGTAATCTGAAACACAGTGTGTGAGGCCGTCTATGTCCTCACCATGAGGACTACAGAGGATGTCCCAGTCTGTAGTGTTAAAACAGTCTCTCAGCTGCTCAATTGCCTCCTCTGTCCATACCTTTACTACCCTGACCTGTAGTGACACCTTTTTCACCACTAGAGTATACACAGGAAGTAGGTGGGCAAGGTTGTGGTCAGAAACATTTGATATGTGCACATTCAGTAATTCCTCCTGACTGAGCTGTGTCTATGAATCTTGCAGGGGTGATCTTTTCTCCATAAATAGTGGTCATTACAACATGTTGATTGCATTGCTGGAGCAAACAATTAATTTAAAAAAGGTTTATGTGTTTTATACATCTCCCATGATGAAAAGAACAAGATAAAAATCCAGACCTGAATCCATACTGTGAATACATGCCACAAACAGAACTGGATTACTAAACAGGCAAAGTGGGCAACAGCCCTGGATCCCTAAAAGTCCCACATACACTGTGTGTCAGTATGTTCTGTTGAAATTTAAACAAGACCAAAATTTATAAAAATCTGTGTCAGGAAAGACCACACAAAATCTTAAAGAATTTTTAAATAATATTTTTAAATCAAATATTCTTTAAAAACCTACAGAACATTTAAGTGTAATATGGGCTGAGAGGTGTCTGTCACTGCAGATCATCCTAAAGCTCCTTAATGCAGGGTACTGGCAAGATGATTGTCAAAGAAAAAATGGTGCTGGATTGGACTCGATGTTTTTCTAGCTATGTGGAGCAGATGGCCTTGCAGTCCCTCATCCATCAGTATGACGTAACAGCTGATACTGGCTTCCATTTATGAGTGGACAAAAAAGCTCTGCCAGGAAAAGCTGAAAAAAATTAGAAATCTCCAGCAGAAAGTAGGTTTTGCTTCGGTTTTTGGCCTGCACTTGGAGGGTTCTGGTGTTCCTCAGCAACACCTTGAGAGAAACAGAGGCCACTGCCTTCTAGTCTAAAGGGATTTATTACTGTGGGGGGTGAAAGTAGTGGCATTCTGTCATGCCCATAGACAGCTAAATAGTGTAGGAGACTGTCATACTTCTTGAAAATTTTAATCCCACTAGTGCTGGAAAGCAGTTATACATTTAATATTGTAGCATTAAAGTGAACTTTTTCTCTGTCTTAGTTTGCACCACATCTCTCAATCTGTTTTTAGGATGATTGCTGGAAAGGCAGAACCAGCCATGCCAGGGAGACTTTATGTTCACCCAGATTCCCCCGCCACAGGAGCTCACTGGATGAGGCAACTGGTATCTTTTCAGAAACTCAAGCTAACAAACAATCACCTGGACCCTTTCGGGCATGTGAGTACCTATGAGGAACCTATCCTTTCTATTTCATCTTCAATCCAGTTGGTTACATCAACATTTTATTGACAAATATAATTTGATAAAATCTAAAAACATGGCAACACTTTCCAACAGTTGTACAGTGGTGTGTTTTCCAGTAGAAATCAGTGGTCTACACAATATGGTTAAAAGGTAGTCTTGAATAACTTAAATGAATATTAACATCAATATCCTGTCTGACACAAGCTTGTCTTAATGGGCTTTTAGAACAGAGTTGGTGAGTCAAATATCAACCAAATGGAAAGCCTTACTGGAACGAGCGGCTATATTCCCATATCCTTCCAGTACATTTGGTGACTATTGTCCAGATCTGCCTTATGCTATGCAGTTCATAAACCAGTCTACTGTTAATATACAATACAGCAATTTATCAGGTTTCTACAGGTGAAATTCTTGGGTTCCCTAAGTAATTTACTATACTGGTCTGGAAATCACCTCTAGCTTAACAGTATACTGCTAAAACTTCATAACACAGGTTTGACAGAAATCTCACCCAGTGTCACAAACATTGCAGTGACATAACTCTCTGTGAAACATACAGCTTGTGTGAAATGTTTAGCTGATAAATGTATAAACAGCAAAATCAAGAAACAGCTTTTCATAGGCAGATTTCTGAAAGAAGGGTGGAAGAAGTGCATAAGGGAGAGTGGAAAGGCAGAGGGAGGTGACTGTGGCAGCACTCCCCAGGGGGACTTGGCTTGTCTGAAGCCATCCTATCAGTGGGTGGGCTCATTAGGTTCATAACCTTTCAGATCAGTGTTGGGGCCTGCTGTCAGACTGAGTTGAGTGTCTGGCCAATGATAAGGATGAGTAATGAGGACGGAGCAAGTTAAGGTCAAAGGTCAAGGTCAAAGTGTTTATTTGTCATATGTACAGTTAGGAAACGTGTTTCCCTGTACAATGAAATTCTTACTTTGCCGTCCACATGAATGCCACACAATACAAGTGAAGTATTAGTACCTTGGGGTTAGTATTACCCCTCTAAATTTTAAACATCTTTAAAACTGTGGTTGATTACTGCACTTTGAAAAACTCCCCCCACTGAAGTGGTAAATGGTGTCTAGGATCAACCAAAGTTAGCTAGAGGTTGTCAGACACAAGCGCAGTATTAAAACTGGGTTTGGCTCAGTGAAAACATGGTGGAATGCGGTGACAGACAGAGTGACAATGCTCTGGAGATTTTTCATCCATCTAAGAAGACTAAGTTCGATATGTGGCCATGTTTTATTTTTTACATGAGCCATGAGGGAGATTCAATTGAAGGTCATTACCCTGTCTGCAGAACATGCAGAAAAAAAATTATTGTGAAAGGAGGCAACACCTCAAATCTTTACAGTCGTCTTCATGACTGTCACCCTCTACCGTTAGCTTAGCTTTTAGCTCAATGTGAGGACTTCGGAAGAGGGCTAATGAGCTTGCCATTAAGCGTAGAGTGTTACCTGGTCTTGTGCTGCTGCTGCATGGGTGTTGTGTCTGTCAGCCCAGTGCACACAATAACATGTTAGCGTAGTCACCCAACTAACATATTTTGTTCATTGATAGTCATTGATTGGTTGAAAAACTGTTCCAACAGGAAAAATACAATAATGCTCTGTGTTCCTGTAAAATTCTGGTTCCTTACAATGACTGTCTTCTTAAGACTCATTTGTTTTTATGTATTCAAATGCAACAGAGAAGACTGAATATAAAAGTGTGTGTGGCCCTGTTTTTCTATACTTCTGTGGCCTGAAACCATTGCGTTAATATCTCTGCGGTGACTGGAAGTCACTTGTGAGTACTGGGGACTGGTCCCCACAGTGTACTGTAGCTCGTTGAATTTTACAAAAACGATGGGGTTGTAAGATCAGAGCAAGTGTCGGCTTTGGTTAAGGTTAGGGTAGGCGTCCTGGAAATGAATGTAATCTATGTAGGGACCTGATAAGTGACAAAAAAAAGGTGTGTGTGAGAGAGATTTTAATAATGTCACTAATGATAATAATTATTATTATTACACATTTGCTCTTTGCTTGTTTACAAAGTGGGCATGCAACAGGCTAACCCAGTAACGCTACTTCAGATGTCCAATAAGACACTCAAAACAGGACAAAACAGTGGGACTTAAAACAAAAATGAGATGACAAACAATCACTACTAACAGCTGAATATGTAGACTCCACTAAGAACCTTAGGCCAAGGCAAATAGGTTTTTAATAAAGATTTAAAATCTGACAGGTCTGACAGGTCTAACATTTATAGGTAGATAGTTCCAAAGTCCAGGGGCCGCTACAGAAAAAAGCACAGCCACCCCACTGACACTGTTTTACCCTAGGGACCTCTAATAAGGACGTTTTTGCAGATCTAATGGCTTTTAGGCCTATGCCAATGCACAGGTTCAGTGAGGTACTCTGGGTCCATGCCATGCAATACTTGGAATGTACTTAACAACAGATTAATCAGAATCAGAATCTGTTTTATTGGCCAGGTGTGTTGGACATGAGGAATTTGATTGTGGTACAGCAGCTCTAAATGTGCATGCACATATCCCCATGCTAAGGGGCAAGTAAACAGTAAACCAACATAAGGCTACATAGTATAACAAAATAAACAGTATAAACAACCAACAAACAGTGCAAACAATGCAAAATAAACAGTATATATAGGCAGTAAACAATGCAGATAGACAAAGGAATGTTCATTAGGAAGCGAGATAAAAATAGAGTACTTAAAAAAACAGAGACTTGTATGAATCTGTATAATCTGTACAATGCATATTTACAGGTGTCGCACTGAGGGTTATTGTCCAGTCATATGGTCGTGGGTTAAGTGTTCATCAGAGTGACAACTTGGGGAAGAAACTGTCCCTGTGCTTGGTTGTCTTGGTGCACAGTGACCTGTAATGCCATCCAGAGGGGAGGAGTTCAAACAGATTGTGTCCGGAGTGTGAGGGGTCAGCAGTGATCCTCTCCGCCCTCCTTTTGACCCGTGAGGTGTACAGGTCCTCCATGGAGGGCAGGCTTGCACCAATGATCTTTTCTGCAGTCCTCACTGTCTGCTGAAGTCTGTACTTGTCCTGTTTGGTTGCTGAGCCAAACCAGACAGTGATGGAGGTGCAGAGAACAGACTCGATGATTCCTCTGTAGAACTGTATCACTGACTTCCTGAAGTCCACTGTCATCTCCACTGTTTTGAGCATGAGGTTGTTGCGACTACACCACAGGACCAGCTGCTCAACCTCCCGTCTGCAGGCTGACTCGTCGCTGTCTCAGATGAGACCAATGATCATTGTATCATCAGCAAACTTTAGGAGCTTGACAGAGGGGTCCTTCGAGATGCAGTCGTTGGTGTAGAGTGAAAACAGCAGAGGGGAGAGCATACATCCCTGGGGGGCGCCTATGCTTATTGTTCGGGTTGCTGGATGTGGTTTTCCCCAGCCTCACCTGCTGCTTCCTGTCTGTCAGAAAGCTAGTAATCCACTGACAGGTGGGGGCAAATTAAACTGAATTCTAAAATGAATGGGCAGCGAGTGAAGAAAGGGCAGTACAGGGGATCAAATTTACAAGTACCCGTGCAGCAGCATTTTGTACCAGCTGAAGCTTAGCAAGGGAAGAATTATTTACTCAAAATACAAAGCATTACAGTAGTACAGTCTGGAGGTAATACAAGCATAAATGGCAATCTCCAAATCCCCGAAAGAGAGAAATGATTTGACGTTACTTTGCAGTCTTAGTTGCAAAAATAAAATTGAATGCTGCAAGAAGTGACGATGAACTATGGCAACAACTGAGAGAACAAAAGCAGCTGAAAAATGACACCATGGTAACTGTATTTCTGCTGGACAGGTAATTATTGGCTTCGTTTGTAAGTGATTTGTTATTTTTTTGAAATCTGTAATTTTAGCCAACATAACTTTTATGTGTATATTAGCCCAACACTAACATTGGCTAATGTTACATTTATAATTTCTTCACTGTGTTTTCTTAAATGTGAATGAACCATGATAACACACTCACCAGCCAATTTATTAGGTACACCTGTACGCACTTCAGTGCTGACCTTCTTGCCTAGCAAGGAAGTTGGGTCATTATGTGCTATGGTAGTAAAATAATATTCATTGTCCTTTCAAGAACTCATCTCAAGCACATAATAAAGCAAATAAACATATCTGAATCTTTGTATACCAAGGAAGATGAAATTCCTTAACTCTTTACTGATCCCAGGAAGGCTTCCCTGATCACAGCATTCCAACAGAAGTTTCCAGTATCACCCTCAGACAGTAGAGTAGACAAAGGTCAGCAGAGAGCCTCTGGTGAACCAGCCACTAGCTTATCTCTGTCTCCAACCTGCATCAGCAGCAGCATGTAAGCATGTGGCCATCCAGTGTTTAGTCTGAGTCTAACGCTCTGTGTCCTCTTTGACCTTCGACTCTCTTTGGGAACCTCAGGAGGCGAAGGCTCCTCAGGAGAGTGTCAAGTATGAGGAGAGGAGCCAAGATGCAGATTTGATGATTGTTTGTCTTGAAAGAGTTGGACTAGTGATGATCCTGATCTACTGTTGCTAACGCTTCAATGAACACAACACTGCACTGTGGTGTTTGTGATCTATAACCTGCTGCTACCTACACAGCCCAAATACTAAGTGAAGTCAACCTAAGCTACCAGTTGTACTCATACACAATGTACAGTACATCTACAGTATATCCTGTGTGATGGAGGTGAAAGATGCAGAGAAACTGTTCATTTAACTAACTGGAACTAAAAACTTTGCAATTGATAATTTTAGGTGTTTCAGACTGGAATCAGCGGATGATGAACTGACCAGGAAATTTTCTAGCATGTCCCAGTTCCAAAGTAGCTAAAGAGTGCTGCAAGTTTCACTATCTATAAAATTCTCACACTGTGTGCTGTCAAAAGACATACAGTAAAGACCTGTCATAATGTTTTCTCACATGGCCTCAGAGATTGTGCTGCCCTTCTCCACAAAAAAACATCTGAGGGCTCAGCCTTGTCCAACTGTGACATAAGCAAGTGCTTGAGGGCTCATTCTCAGCCCTTTATGCATGTTTGAGTTTCCATTGATGCACATTTTGTATGAGGGAGTTACAGCTTATAGTATTTTACATTACTGCCACATTCATGTCATATGGATGCGCTGTAAGTGTGATTTTAGTGATTCATTTCTGAACATTAGTCTATCCAATCAGTGCTTTGATATGAACTGTATGAATGAGGAAATGAAACAGTGTACAGAAACAGCAGGGATTTTACAGGTTTCATCAAGTTAAAATTAAAACTGTGACGACCTATTAAGATGTTGGATCCCAAATGTTGTTATAACTTAGGTTTTAATTAGTGTAGCAGATATTTTCTAGCACCAAAAAAAGTTTAACGGATATGAATAAAATATTTTTGAGTATTTATGTTGAATAAACTAAGAAAAATGAGCCTGGTT